GGAGCGGGATGGTTGTGCGTAGGCACCTTGTCACCTGCTTAGGGAGGTGGCGATCTCGGTTTAAATAGACCTCGGTAGGTGCTGACCACTTCGGTCTTCGGTAATTCGGTCTGGTTCATCGCCTGGACCGGGGTGGTGTTAAAATCACGTCTATTCAATGGTCATCTTCCTCTTAATGTGATGTTTGGAATCTCTTAAGTTTTACCGAATCGGATGATAACACTTTGAATATCATCCTTCAATACTCCATAGAATTTCTAATACTTCATAATTGTCTATATCTTACGTTTTTTTTTTTTTTTTGGTTCGTTCACGCAAATTAACTAATGTAAGAAATGGGGGGAAAACGGAAACGGGTGCGGTCCTACTCACATGAAGCGCACCATGAGACAGAGAAAGTCCATATGAAGCACAAATAGGGTTTTATCTCAAAACCAATTGGTGAAAAGAAAAGTAGTCCATTAGACTTATAAGGTGGGTCTATTTTTCATGTATAAATGACGTGAGACAACTCACAAGTAATATTCTAACAATTAATATACTTGCGTGTACACGAGTACGATTGAACGATAAAAAAAATCCGATAAGAATAGAGTTTAAAACATAAAAAATAGTAAATCATATAAAAATGCTAATTATCTTGAGAGAAATAATATTTTTCCTCTAAAATATGTGGCATATCATAAAGTATATCGTGACAAAATGATGTTTGTTCGAGTCAAAAAGACATCTCGAAAGCCAACTTGTGATTTATTCTTAGAAAAAATCCCATATGGGATACTTGAAAAATATTGTGCTTCTTATCCCTTCAAAAGAAGCTTTAAAGAGCCCACAATGTGAAATGCAATTGCAACCCACTATTCTTTCAGATTATATATTTTAATTTGGGCACTTAATTGGGCTTATTTATTCCCCTACCCCATTTATCTGCAAGTCTACATATTAAAATTATTTGATATTAAATTTATTCATTAATTATAAGGGCATTGTCTAGTCTAAGGCATGAAAATGAAATTAAAGTTCTTGATTTCTAAAATGAAATTTGTATATATATACTTGCACATCATTAGTGCACATAAAGGAATAGACTTTAGCCCAAATGATAAAAGGTATGTTTAAGTAGACTTTGAATCGAATATGACTATTTTCTATTTTATTTTTATATTTATTTCATTTTATTAGATGAATAATACGTGTATAAATATATATAATTGTCATTATATATGGTGGGTATGTTGGTTTCTTTGAAGGAGTTTATTATTATAAGGGACGCGTAATATATATAATTCATATAGAACAGGTATAAGAGAACTCGATTTTTCATCAATTTAAGTGATGTTGATAATTTGAGAAGTCTATAAAAAAAAATAAAAATATGTATGTAATGCATTATTAAATGGTATACCTTTCATTAAAAAACTTATGATCAGTTTCTAAAATATAATTAAGCCTTCCAAAATAACTATGCAAAAAATGTTATTATTTGGTTGCTACATAATTCAAACATGCATCGTTTTGTAACAATAAAGTGGACTAATGTGTTCAAACTGTGGTCAAACTCAAATAAAGAAGCTCGGAAGCTAACCTGGACACATGTATAATTTAATTTACAAATCATCCATTGCACCTTTGTTTAGATTCCCCATTTGTCGTAGTACTATAGTATATATAGTTGTTCATAGATAGTGCTGTTAAATTAAACGAGCTTGACTCGGTTTGGTTCGAGCCTTAACGAGCCGAGCTCGAGCTCACTTAAAGCTCGTTTGGTTAAGAGCGGAGCTCGGCTCGGCTTGATAAGGCTTGTTATAACTCGAAAAGAGAATTTCTATATATTTTTTTTTTATATTTCGGCTCGTTAAAACTCGAGCTCGAGCCCTTAACGAGTCGAGCTCGAGCTCGAGCACCCTAAGCTCGAGCTCGGCTCGATTCGTTTACAACGACCTAGTTTTTTTCATAAGAATGAAATCTCAAGTTGCTCTTTAATATTTCATTCTGCATTTAATTTTTCATCTTATTCCATTTCGTATTTTATTTTTATTGGATGTTCAATGCATGGACACGATAATATCATATTTGCACACGTATTATGCATCCAATTGAATGAAAAATATCATGTAACATGAAATGTGATCCTTTTTCCAGTGATAATTATGATCTAAAAGTAAATAAAATATGCATTGTAATATCTATCTATAAAACTAGCTGACAACTGAGAAGTTATCTGATATCTCATAAGTTTTTTGAGACAAGTTAGAGCTTTTCAAAAGAACCCATCATCCCAAACATTTTTTTGCATATAAAAAGCTTATAATAAAGCCAACTAAACATACAACAAGTTAATTTATGATGCTTTTTCCTAGTATTAACTATTAACTAGAATTCAAATTTATTTAGAGTATGTTCAGTATAACATATAAAAAGTTAACTGATAACTGAGAAGCTTACTGATACCTCATTAACTTGACATTTAAGATAAAACTCGAAACCTTTCGAAAAAAAATAAACTTATTCTATATTAAACCAAACTTATTTACATATAAAAAGGTTACAAAACCAACTAAATATGGTATAAATCAATTTAGCCTATGTTTGGTTCACGGGA